CCCAGGGCCACGTCTCTGATTTGTAGCCCGCTGGTCAGAAGCACAGCTGGCCTGGGCACTGGCCCGGCCCCTGCGGGGGGTGGGGGGGGCGCCGGCCCTTTGCCTGTGGAACCTGACTCTGTCTCTGGGGAGGCAGTGTCGAGCTGTCTCTGCTCGCCCTGCCAGGGTCTGGAAACTGCCTGTGGTGGGGGGAAGTCTCTGTGCACGACGCGGGGCGGCCGGGAACCGCTTTTAAGAGGGGCACACGTTTGTGGTGTCTGTGGAGAGGACTCTGGTTTTCCAGAAGGCACGTGCGACGGGGCCGGGCCGTCCAAGTTCATGCTGCGTGGACTGGCCGCATCGGCTCTCCATGATGCCGTGGATGCGCCCCTTCCGAATAACCGACTTCTCCGGGTCGTGGGAGAACAGGTTATGTAGCTACTAAACAGGAAACCGGGGCCCCCAGGTTAAGGGGGCTGCTTGTCTCTGGAGGAGGGGGCGGATCTGCGGGTTCATAGTCTCATGTACGCAGTTAAGGAAACTTGGAACAGGCCCTCCACCTCCCCCCACCCCTGTCCTGCTCTAGAGGAGCTATCCGCCCTGCACCTGGCCACCAGCCTGAGTTGGAACAAGGTGGGAGGCAGAGCCGAGGCGGGGGAGCGCCTGGGAACCTCATGGGACGCTGAGGAGTGCGGCCTTGGGTGGTTTTCTTTGCTAAGCAAAGCCACACTGTCCCACAAACAGTGCAGCCCGGGCTGCCCGGGCTCCGCCCCGCCGACCTGTGACCCCAGCCTCGGGCGCTCAGGGAGGTCCATGAGGGGCGGCATGTCCTTTATGGCCCTGGAAAGGAGTCGTCAGTTTGCCCCCAGGTAAAGCCATGGGTAAGTTCTCTTCGTTCATCAAAGATTCACCTTTAAAAAAAACCTATTTTGATTTTGACATTTTTTTGTATATTTCATACTTTTGCTCCTTAAAAATATTGGCATTTTTGTGTTTACCTAACACGTGGGCCGTAATTCAAATAATTCCATACTGTCAGATCATCATCGAGTGGTTCCCAGTTTTCAGTTTCGAGCTGTGCCCTTCCTCACTTAGCATAAGTCCAGAGTCTAGAACCTGCTTCTTTTGGGTTCTACATATCAACACCGTGCAAAGGTCTCACCACAGCCCGGCAGCCTTCAGCGGCGTTGGCTAACCACACCCGTGTTGTGAGGTCAGCTCTTGGTCACACGTGTGCAGCACAAGGGGTTTCTGCTCCTGTCACATCACCTGGTTGTCGTGAGTGGCCGCCGGCGCCTGGCCTTTCTGTCCCGTGTCCTGAGAGATGGAGACAGGTTTATCGGTACCTGGCCTGGCGCCGAGACGGAGGGATTAGACATGCGGAGCAGTGCCGGTTTACCCAGGGCCGGCAGCGGTGCTTGCTCACTGGGCAGCTGGGGTGGGTGCTGAAGCTCAGTCCCCCTGGCGGGCGGGTGGCCCGGGTTCCTGGAGCTGCACAGTGTAAAGCTGCTGCTTGTTGCCATGGCAGCCAAAGCTTCATTCTTACTCAAGTGGCTCCAGCAAGCAACAAGGGCAAGGAACATGGAGAAGGGGAGAGCAAAAACCTGCACTGATTATAACTGAAAAACAAAAACCCCTCCTACTCAGCCAGTTGTGCAAATCAAGGGGCACTGCATAAGGGTCAGGCACGTTGGTCCGTGTTCTGGCAGGAGGCAGACGTGGCAGAGGTGGTTTCGGGGGGCAGTTTGTCCTCGTTCCATGTGACTTCCCCTAAACGAGCTTCTGACGGGGCCACACACCTTGTCCCGTGCACCGTGGTGACCGTCTCAGCAGAACAGGAAGACGGGCTATATCCGAAACAGTGCTGACGGGCCCCCTTCCTACATTTTAGGAAGCAGGCAACACAGCGCCCTGCCGCGGTGCAGGGTTCAAGCTGCTTCCTGTCATCTGAGCTGTCACGAGCTTGCCCACTTAGCCTCAGTCTGCTGTTCTGCCTGGCGACGTGACGGTGCAGGTGCTGCAGGGGTGGTGGGCCTGCCGGGTCAAGTCTGGGCGGGCTGCGGGGCGGGGCGGTGCGGGCACTGCTGCGGGGGCTGCTGGAGGGAAGTGGAGCCTTTTGCTGGCTTCTGGAGTGGGGGCTTCTGGAGTGGGGTCGGGGGTGCGCTCACCTGGGGGCTGGCTCTTCCCCCCCTATTCAGTTCCTGAGCTGTCAGGGCCTGTTCTAGAGATGTGGTCTTGGAGGTCCGGATGGGTTTGTGACCCTGGGAATGTGCAGCTGAGCCGTGTCCCGGTGGCCCTAGGGTTTCCCAGCTGGACCCTGTGGCTCTGTTGGCAATTCTAGCGTCTTCCTTCACGGAGGAAAAGTGGTGTCTGGTACTGGGTGAGCCAGCGAAGAACATCAGGGCCCCACAGGTGGGCGTGTTCATCTCGGGTGCTCGGCCCCTTGCCTCGGCCACTGGAAGGTCAGTGTCCGCAGGCACCCTTTGGTGCCTTTCAGGAAAACTGTGGTCCCGACTTCTCTCCCACCAAGCGTGCACGGTTTGCCCAGCATGTGGCGTGGCCCGTGGCTGTGTCCTGTGGTTCGACCCTCTGTGGGGCCTCCGGGTCAGCACCGCCCCGAGACGACCTCGCCTGCCTGTCTCAGACCCGTCTGCACCCCTGCATCCCGGGCCACTCTCCCAGCCCTGGGGTCTTGGGCCTCACCGGGGCAGGACAGACCATTGCATTCACACTGCGGCTCCGGTAGGCGGGAGGGTGGTGGGGACCAGAGGTGGGCCTCCGCCTCCTGCCAAGGGGGACAGGAAGCCCCTGGGCTGACAGAAGGCCTTTGGTGTCCAGGATGTGCTGCTGAGAAAGCAGGCCCCTGCCAGGTGCGCTAGCACAGAGCCGCGGACTTCCAGACAGCAGGGTCGCGTCTCACAGGGCCCAGCAGATTCACCGGTTTCTGTCTCGGGGCGCGCGCTTCCTGTCTCATTGCTGCTTTCTCACGGTGTCCTCACGTGGAGGAAGGGGCCGGGGGGCTCTGGGGTCCCTCTCAGAAGGGCACTAATTCCATTTGTGAGGGTTCCACCCTCCTGACCTCATCAGCCCAAACCCTCACCTACTGACCCATCACCTTGAGGGTAAGGATTTCCACGCAGGTATTTGAGGATGGGGACAGATGTTGAGACTGGTTTCGTCCACTTGGTCCCATGCAGCTGAGGTCCCTCCTTGTCTTTTCACCGCACCGTAGCTCGTTTCTTTTCAGGACTGAACAATGTCCCGTTGTCGGGCCGGGTTTATTTGCCCGCCACCTGCGGAAAGGGCATCTTGGCTGCTTCCGGGTTTTGGCGATTCCGACCACAGCTGCTGTGAAGATCTGTCTGCAGGTTTTGTGCGGACATAAGTGTCGGCTCCTTTGGGTAAATACCAAGGAGCCATTGCTGGACCGCATGCTGAGGGCATGTTCAGTTTTGTACGAAACCACCAAACTGTTCTCCGGGGTGGCCACCCATCTGCACCCCACAGCAGGAGTGGGCACTCCTGCTGCCCCCCGGGGTGGTCAGAGTTCTGGGGTTGGGCCGTTCTGATAGGTGCGCGGCGCTGCCTCACGTGGCTCAGGTCTGCGCATCCCTGGTGACAGGGACTCAGAGCATCCTTGCATGTGCTCATCTGCCACCTGTTTATCTTCTTTGGTGCGGTCTCCAAGTTTCTTGCCCATTTTTTTTTAATCAAGTTGCTTATTTTCCCTCTCCTTTTTGTGTGTGTGTGTGTGTGTATAATTTGGATAACAGTTCTTCATCAGGTGTGTCTTTTGCAAATATTTCTCCCAGTGTGTGGCTCGTCTTGTCCTTCTCATGACACTGATTTTAGGATGGTGAACGGGGGGTTTCTCCCATGATTTCAGGAAATAACCTCATAAGCAGGTCCGTCAGACACTTTCTTATCGGCCAAGTCAGGCGCACTTGGAACTTGCTTGATGTGATGTTACTTGTTTTGTGCTGTTGGCCCAGCGCTGTCCTTCTTGACCACTTGCTGCCCCGGTCTGCTCTCGGGCCTCTGCGTGGCCCGGGAGTCGTCGTCTCCCCCGTGGTCAGCTGGAGAGGGCAGGTCAGTACCAGGAAGTACGAGGCACGGTCCATAGTAGTGCCTTCAGTCGTTAACAGGTGGTAGTGTCTTAGAGCCATGTCTGAGGGTGGGCGTGTGAAACAGTGTTGCCCTTAGCATTGACCAGACACCCACAGTGCCCTGACGCTGCGTGTGCGCCTGGTGCCCGTGCGCACACAGTGCCGAAGTCACCGCACAGATGTGCACGGCCTCCTCTCGGACCGTCTTCCAGGGAGTGTCGGTCTCCGAATGCTGTCCGGGCAGAATGTCACTGTTGAGGGTTTTAACTCTTCGGCAGAGCCTCAAGCTCGACCCAAAGTTCGGGGTGCCAGTCAGAAATGACTGCAGCCCACCCTCTGATGACGTCCCGTATACAGCCAGCTTTGCCTCACAGCAAGTTGTAGGAAGTCACGTGTCTGGGATCACTCGCCCTTGAACTGGAAACAGGACAATAGAGGAAGTTGTTGGAACAGGCCTAGTTTCACTTATCTCAGTGTGTCTGCAAGCCCCACCCAGACTGCCAGCGCCAACGCCTGGCCATCGGGAGGTGTCTCTGGGCCTGGGCAGCTGGTCTGAGCGGTTTCTCTGGGTTTTGGAGCGGACGGCCCTGGAATAGTCGCAGCCAGAGCTGCTGCCCACCTCCCAGCAGCCCCGGAGGCTCCCAGGCGCCCGAACCGGGGGCTCCGGCTTGTGCTTGGACAGCAGGCTGGGCCTGGCGTCGCCCCGCCCTGCGGTGCCGGCCCGGGCGTGGGCGCTTCAGAAGGAGACGTTCAGTGCTTTCAGAGATCACAGCTACCATCCTAGTGCTTCTGTGTAACGGCTTCCCTGCAATTCGAATGCTGTAAGATGACTTAATGGGTGTCATTTTCTGGGCATGAACTGAGTCTCCGTTATCTGACTGTCCCCTGCAGGTGATGACGCACCAGCCCAGGCGCCTGGCTCACCCGGGAGCAGCCCGTGGCCCTGCCCCTGCGGCCTCCTCCGTCCTTTTCTTCTCAGAGCTGCTTTCCTTCCCTTTCCAGTGGCTGCCCCCTGGGAAGGGGCCCTGGCAGTGGAGGAAGTGCCCTGGTGGCAGTGCTATAAGGGAGGGACTTCACACCCAGGACCGGCGCAGCCACGTGCCACTGGGGTCCTGGTGCTGTGCCCCCAGCAGGTGCCGTGGGACGGGACCGGGCGCTTCGTCTGTGAGTTCAGAGGTCAAGTCCCTCACAGCGTACCCGTGAGCGTGCGGCGGCGTAACCCTCCAGGAAGCCGAGTCGGGGACTGGTCATGTTTTGGTAGTGGTTAGTAAAGTCATTATTATATTGGTCGTAGTTTTTTTGTCCTCAGACAATTGAAGAATTAGGCTATCAAATTAAAATAGATCAACAGCCTTAACTGGATAGGTAGGCACACGGAGGGCTTCCCAGGGTGTTATGTTCCAGATGTTTTGTGTCTTGATATAAATTCGTGAAAGCTGACTGAACAGGCACATTTTCACTGCATGTGAATTATGTCTGATAACCACTTGCTAGTTCTCTCGTACGCCAACCTACCAGCTGGAACTGCAGGGGATGAGAAAACCCTACTGGCTGTGGCACCAGAAAGAGAAGTAATTAGGAAGAAACCTAAGAAGTGAGCAAAACCTATAGCAGTGCCTTGCAGGTCTCCAAGCAGCTGTCCTCGGGACCGGTTGGTGCCACGGCTGCTTTCCCGGGCTGACGTCAGGCTCACAAGTCACAGTGAAAACACCAAGGAGGCTTTTCCCCTGGAGCTAGTTGAGCTCTCAGAGTCCCTGAGCCCAAGCACCGCCTACACTCGGCCCTGGGAGAGCACGGGCAGGGCAGGGCTGGGAGGCGGCGCCTGCACTCGCAGGGTCCCCTGCAGCCCTGGTTGTGGACACGGGCCAGCGCACACTGTAGCACGGGGGACTGGGGGACAGACTCACGTGCCGGTGCGGCTCGACACCCAGTAAAGGAGGAACCCGAAGTGCCAGGGACAGACATACAGAGAAATCACATTGAAACAACTGGCTGGCCACAGGGAGAGGTGGCAGCGGCCCCTTACCCTGCAGCACTGCACACGAGAGTGCGGAGCACGGCCCTGAGATGCGCCCACCAGACTGACGGGGACCTGCCATTGAGCGGTCTGCGTGCACAGCGTCTTGTGGGAGGTGGTCCTGCTGTTCCGTGTGTCAGAGTCCCATGGCCCACTCGACGTGGGACACCGACCCAGGCCCCACCCTTCACTGCAGCCTCTGTCACAGGTGCCCAGCCAGGTCAGCACAGCTGCTCTGTGCTCTTGACCTAGGTCTGCAGGCAGTCCCCCTTTCTCAGTGTGCGGGGCTTCAGCTGGATTTCTGAATGGTTCGTAACAGCCCTGAAATGCTTACACATCCCAGGGCTTGCAGACAGGGGTGCGGCCACAGTGGCCCCGCTGGGTGACACTTGCTGATGAGTGAAGGTGCGATCTTCACGGGGTCTGACTTTATTGGTTTAATTTTTTTTTTTTTTGAGGCAGGAGGCAATTTAAAAAAAAACAAACTATGGTGTCTAATGAAATATTCAGGGAAAGACAAAATGGATTCTGAACTCAGGGTCAGTCTGTGGGTTCCCGGCCCTGTCCGTGTCTGGGGAGAGCCGCTGGCCACCCCAGCGGGGTCTCCGAGGTCTCCCCACGGGAGACCAAACTGCATCCGTTCACAGTTTGGTGCCTGATGAGGTCCCTCCCGGTGAGGCTGCCGAGCGTCTTACTCAGTGTCTTTCCATAAACGGTCATCTGCGGGTGGCAGTCAGAGGATCTTTCAGATCCGTCTCCTCGCACTGGCCATGCCCAGCAGGCGGCCGGGAGCCCGGCGGGCACACGCTTGTGCCCTGCGCTGGGTGCGGCCCTGCAGGGCGGCCCTGGGGGTTGCCAACCACGCCGAGTGAGTGCTGATGTAAGAAATGTCCAACCCGAATATTGCAAGTTTTAGGTTTGAATCTGTTTTTTGTTGTTGCTCTGGCCCAGACCGAGGAGCTGCCCGGGTTAGCACCGAGGAGTCCAGGGTGGCCAGTCTGCGGTGCCGAGTCTAAACCGGGTCTCCCTGTCCGCGTCTCTCGGACAAGAGCCGATAGCCCAGCCTCACGTCCATTCGCGCTGGGAAGGCTCCTCAACGCTGTTTCGGGCTCAGCTCACCTCGGACGCGCCGTCGGCTTGGGTGGTGTCTGCTTCACGCCCGCAGGGCTGTGAGCCCCGTGGGCGACTGTGCCCACCGGCCTGCGGACCGAGGGTGCTAACGATGCCTGTCGTTCTCCTCATCATAGGTGACAGACACTGCCTGGGTCAGGTCTGTCTACTGCCCCGGCCGCTGCGTTTGGGCCGCTCGACGGAGGGAAGCCAGCTGTGTGGATGCCTAGGCTCCTTGACTAACAGGTAAACCCCACACCCCGCTCACACCGCTCTCCCAGAACTTCCGTGAGGCCGGTCCTGGCAGCTGGCCACCCAGATCCCCTGGGCGTGACAGCGGGGGTGGCTTTCCAGTGCAGACAGTCCCTAGGAAGTACTGGCCTGTTGGTTTTCTTCATCCTTTCATTTCATTTTTTATTCTCACCCGCGGACAAGCTTATAGATTGTAGAGAGAGGGGAAGGGAGAGAGGCGGAGGGAGAGAAACCTCAGTGGTTGACTCTCATGGGCCCCAACCAGACAGCAAACCTGCAACCCAGGCACGTGCCCTGAGCAGGAACTGAACCCGTGAACTTGCAGTTTATGGACAAAGCTCTAACCATCTGAGCCACGCTGGTCAGGGCCTTGCACTCATTCCTTCAGTGACCTTTCCTGCAGTGGGGCTGGGCACATTGGGGCTGTGAGGGCAGGTGCAGGCTGGTTGATGGGGTCTCCCAGGGGGCTTCTCCCTGCCCCAGGCAGGGCTGTGTCCCCCTGGGGACAGGGGCTGTGAGAGCCTTTGATGGGAAGGGGGGTCAGCAGCAGTTCTGCGGGGGAGGGTGGAACCTTGAGAAGAGACTTTGGGACAGTGTGTGGTGCTCATGAAGGTAGGGGGTGGTGTGGGGGAGACGAAGGACACTTGGAAAGGGGAGCAGGGAGCCCGGCCCAGAAGGGCGCGTCCCTCCCTCTGCCCCCACACACAGTGCCAGGGTCGGAGCGAGCCCTCAGACAGCGTCCCCCAGCACCTCGCAGCACTGTCCCACCTGGGGCCCAGGACATGGGTCCCAGCCTGGCAGGCTCCTCTGTCGGAGGCGACCACGTGTGTGGACAAGGTCAGAGTGGAACCTGAGTGTGTGTGGAAGCCACCCAGCGGGGCTCCAGGCGCGAGGCGGGCTCTGCCAACAAGTCAGGCGGCGGCGGCCGGCCTCCCTGGAGCTGCCCGCCTGACCGCCTCGGGGCACCAGAGGTCGGCTGCCCCGGCCCTGCGGTGGCACTGAGCGCAGGCCGCGCCGTCCGGTGTGTGTCTCCCCTTTCACCGTGTGTTTGAGGCTGGCCTTGGACCGCTCGCTCTTGGGCCTTTGCTGGGAGACCCCCGGCACTGAAGCGGAGCTCAAGGATGACAGTGTGGTCGGATGGTCCTGCCGAGTGACTGCACCCCTAAGAGCTCAGTTCTGTGCCTCCTCGGCACATCCAGGCGAAGCGAAGAGGTCGGCTCAAGGCTTGAGGCATTTCCTCAGACCCGTGGGCGGAGCCCCGCATCAGCCGTTGGGTGGCATGGGCCAGGGGCCTGTGCTGGGCCTTTCAGTCCCTGCCAGTCCTACTCTCCTGTCTCCCCGAAAATACTCCCCAAGAGCTTCTTCCAGCGCCTGTGGACCCTGCTCCCTCTTAGTGACCTGGCCCGGAGACAGCTGCCTCATTCCCGGGAGCACGTGGCTTGAGCTCACCTGTGTCTCCTGTCCTGCCCTGAGTGATGTGCTGAAAGACAGCAGCAGCGGGATGAGTCGAACGTCCCAGCCGGGGGTTTCGGTGTCTCTGAAGGACACTGTCCTGGAACCCTTCAGTCGTGGCGGTAGCACAGAGTCTCAGCTCTGGCACAGCAGGGGGCCCATCCCCTGCTGCTCCACAGGAGACCGAGCAGCGTCCCTGCCCCCAGTCAAGAGGTGGCAGCCGCAGTGTCTCTGGGCCTCGCTCCGCTGTCCTCTGCCCCCTCTCCCGGCAGCATCTTCCTTCGCAGCCTGCCCTCCCCACCCCCCACCTGTCACAGTCCTGACACCCACAGGCCGAAGCCACCTGCATTACAGGGATGCCCGTCCCTGGGAGCTCCCCTTTGTCGTCCAGGCTTCATCCCCCACAGGAGGAAACTCCATAGGAGACAATGCTTCTCTAGAAACGAGAGCTCGTTCTTTTGCACCGGTGACCCAGAGTGAGCACCAGAGAACTAGTGTGGCCAGGGGTCTGGGTCTCCCAAGTAGCCGCACTGACCCCACCGGGTTGTCCCCCTCTTTTGCAGGTCAGCCAGTCACTCGATGGGGAGCAACGGCAGACCCCCTTCCCGTGTCGCCGTGCCGCCTGTCTGCAGCCAGGGAAGCCGCTTCAGCGCCGCCTCAGTCATAATGATGAAACTGGTATTAACTGAATGGCAATTATGGATTTTTAACTCTAATTCACAGTAATCCAACAAGCCGTATGTTTAAAATCCAACCAAAAATCGTTTTGTTTTGCTGCGAGCTGCATCGGTTGTGGCAAGCCACACGAGGAGGAATATAAGTGTTACTTGCTGAGGAGCGCAGCGGAAGCAGAGAGGAAACGTCCGGTTCACCCTCACAGATACGTGGCAGTGGTGGTGTGGCGGTAGAGCAGACACGCGAGCACACGCACGCACGCACACACACACCTACCTACCTACCTACCTACCTACCTGGTGGGATGAGAATGGCTCCACAGAACGCCGACTCAGAATCCATGCAAGTTCAGGAGCTGCCGCTGCCCCTGCCCGAGCTGCAGAAGCCCACCGACACTGAGCCGCACGAGGAGACCACCAGCGAGGGCTCCATCGACCGCATCCCCGTCCGCCTGTGGGTCATGCACGGGGCCGTGATGTTTGGCAGGGAGTTCTGCTACGCCATGGAGACGGCGCTGGTCACGCCCATCCTGCTGCAGATCGGTAAGCACTGCCCGCCAGCACGGGCCGGAGTGTGCTTGGAAGCCCTGGGGGCCACGTCCTGGTCTGTCCTCCTTCCAGCTTCCCGACCCCTGCCCCTGCTGGCAGCCGAGGCTGGGGAGGGGACGGTCCCAGCGCTGCCATGGAATTGGGTCTGGGCGAGTGCACTCGGCATTGGCCAGTGTGGGTGGCGCGTGCAACCAGACCAAGAGTGAGGCCGGGGGTAGAATACGCTGACTGGCACTTAGTTAGGGTCCTGCTGCCGTCAGTCTCGTTGACGTAAGTGTCAGGCTGCTGTGGGCCTTCGATGGCTGAGTGCCGGGTCTTCCCAGAAGTCCTGGGCATCGCAGGCCCCCGGGCCAGCCTCGGGGGCACTTCAGGCCCTCGGGCTTTTGTCAGCAGGTTTGATGTTCCTGTTAAGTTACGAAATCTGTAATTTTCCGACTTAGAAGAGATTTGAGTAAGGGATCAAGCCATTTAAAACATAGTTTCATTCTAGAATTTCTCATGTGCTTGGTCAAATATTTTTCAAGTCAACTTATTTTGGTTTTTTAAAGGAAGGCTGCTTTCTCCAAACGTTGTAAATAAAGTGCTCAGTGAGCGTTAACTCAGCCCCACAGCACGGAGCAGTCTGTGACGAGTGGGACCCTGCGACGGCTCGCACGCCCCTCCCCACCTCCGTGCGAGCGGGTGGCGGCCCCAGCCAGCAGAGAGCAGGCGCCACTGCCCGCGTGGTGTGGTGGGCCTCTGGGAACCCCGTCTGTGCGCATGGCTGTTTTGGTCACATCGCTGTTCAGGTGGAGTCCCCTCAACAAAGTCCAGCTTACTTCTCAGGGGTGGACCGGAACTGCACTCAGCAGGGCAGCCTCGTGGTCAGAACGTTCTGGTTGTGTTGGAGTTTCTTTGACAAGCTGTCTGCCAGGTCCACCGCCTGGTGCCCTCTGCCGGGCCATGTCTGTGCGCTGCTGCCGCTGGTCCCGGAGCGGTGGGAGCCGCTGGCTGCGTGGCCACAGGCGTGGAGCCGCCACCGCAGTCAAGACCAGGAGTGCTGTCCTTGCCCACAGGCTCCTTAGTGGCCCTCACACCAGTCCTCCCCACCCCGGCACCACCGACCTGGCCTGGGCCCTGGCTCAGCGCTGCGCCTCTGCAGTGCACCCGTTCGTCGCTGGGGAGTGAGGCCTTCGTTTCTCAGGGCTGGCTCCCATTCCTGGATGGGCACACCCCCTTGTCCAGCCGTCCCTCCGAGGGTGGCCATCCAGGCCCCCAGAAGCCAAGCTGCTCTGAGCGCTCAGCCACTCGTCCCCTGTGGGGACAGACCTGGGAGTGGCACTGCCTGCAGAGTGCAGGGCTCCTTGGGTAAGAAGAGGGCACTCCCTCCCGCCCCGACGCCCCCTGTGTCTCCCGTCCTTGGCGCGACTGTGCTTCTCTCAGTGTGGTTGGCGTGCTGCCTGGGTGTCCGTGTGCCGTCTCGGTGAGGGTGCGTCCGGGCTTCCCGCTGGTGCTCGCATCAGGTTTGCCTTCCCGCGTCGCACCGAGTCCTTCGCAGGCTCCTTGCGGAGGTCCTTTGCCACACGCTGCGTGCCACACACTGCGTGCGAGTGTCGGCCCCGCGTCTGTGGCCTCCTTCCTTCCCTCGTCTCGGTAGAGTTTTGAAGTCATAAGTTTTGAATTTGGGCCAGACCTGGTATGCCTTTTATCTTTGATTGTTCTTTTCTGTTTTAACTAAGAAGTCGTTGCCCAACCCGAGGCCATAATGATTTTCACTTATGTTTTCTTCTAGATGTTGTGTAGTTTTAGTGCTCACATTTGGGGCTGCGATCCATCTTAAATTTTAAGATTTTACTTACTTTAGGGGAGACAGGAAGGGAGGGAGAGAAACATTGGTGTGCAAGAGATACATCAATCACTTGCCTCTTGAGCGCCCCCAGACGGGTACCTGGCCTGCAACCCAGGCATGTGCCCTGACCCAGACCAGGAACCAAACTGGTGACCTTTCAGCCCTTAGGCCAGTGCTCAGACCGCTGAGCCACACCAGCCGGGGCCTTCTTGAATTAATTTTTGTGTACAGGAGGAGATGAGGGTCTGCTCACACATCCGCTCTGGGGGTGGCGGGGGTCTCTGGGCACACCAGCCTCACCCCTGCCTGGCTCTGGAGCCAAGACCTCCCTGGACCCTGGACTGGAGACCTGTCTTTGCTCTTGTCCTTGGTGTGGGAACTGCGGGAAGGAGTGTTCCTAGGCCCCCGCTCACAGTCCCATGAAGGAGATTGGCAGCACCTAGAAATCGGGGTTTGGGTGTTTGTTCTGTCAGTGCTGAGGTGGGTTCTTTTTCTTCTTCTTTTTATAAATTTTATTTATTTTAGAGAGGGGGGACAAGGAGAGAAAGGGAAGGAGAGAAGCGTCAGTGTGTGATTGTCTCTCAAGCGCCCCCTATTGGAGACCTGGTCCACAGCCCAAGCATGTGCTCTAACTGGGAATCAGACTGGCCACCCTTTGGTTCTCAGGCTGGCACTCAATCCATTGAGCCATAACCAGCCAGGGCCTAAGGTGACTTCTGATGGGGAGACCCATGGCCCTGCCCCAAAGCAGAGGACAAGGGTGTGACACACTGGGCCCCACAGAGCCAGTGGCCTCCCCGACTTACCCACCCAGGGTGGCCAGGGCCAGGGTGGGCAGCCCCTAGGTGCCGTAGCCCGGCACCAGCCGTAGGCATCCTAGGTGAGCCGCTGGTCAGCGAGGCGCCTCAGAGGCAGGATCAGGTGGGAACGTGGGGTCTGTCTGAAAGGACACTCGGGAACAGCCTGCCTCAGCCCCTCCTGGGCTTGTCGCCTGCTGGCAAGGTCTGTTCCCACACAGTGTTTCCCGGGGGAGGGAGGGGGTCTGGGCGCCGGCCACACACACACATTGTTTTCCTCTTGGTTCCGGAAGTGGCCTCCAGGGAAAAGGAAAATCATATAAAGAAGAAAGGATGTCTTGCTGCCCCTGGGTCTGACTGACCAGCTCGGTTCTCAGAGTGAACCCTGAAGCTTCTCCTGGTGGAGCCCCCCTGCCCCCGCCCCCACTTAGGCGCCTGGGGTGGGTTGTAGGTTTATTCTCAGGGAAGGTGGGGTTCACCCTGCCCCCTCCAGGAGGCAGGGTGAAGCTCACATGGAACCTGACGCTCGCCTCCGGCCGTGGGAAACGTCGCCTTGAAGAGCCATCCTCACAGAGAACACCACACGGGAAGCGCCCCGGTGCTGGCCACTGGCCCCCACTCCCTGTACTGGGCAAGTGGCCGTGGAGGCCGGCAAGGCAGGAGCAGGAGGGGGGTGTGACCTGGCCAGCGACCTGGCGCTGAGTCGCCCATGCAACAGGCACCCTCCTGCAATCCAGGCCAGGCCTCGCACCCTCCTGGGCGTTCAGGGTGCCGGCCCAGCCCTCACAGGGACGCTGTGAGAGTGAGCCTTGCTGTTCTGGGCACGTGTAGCCACGTGCTGAAAGGCGCTCTCGGTGTCCCGGCTGAACCAAGGGCGTCCCCGCACGGTGCATCCCACAGGGACTTGCCGCAGGCGCGCTTAAATCCGGAGTGGCCGTTGTGCCGCGTTCTCGCCACTCCCCTTGTCTGGCCGCAGTTCACGCCTGCGCCCTTCAGTGTGGTGACTCTTGGCAGAGGGAAGCTGCCCTTCTCCTTCTGAAGTGCAGGTGCCGAGGGCCTCGAGCAGAGGCCGCGCAGCTGGCTCTCCTGTTGGGAGGCAGACTCGGCGGCTCGGCCCGCTCCCTTTGTGCAGGAGGGCTTCCCACGGCACACCAGCCCCATTCTCAGGGTGTCACGGCCACTGGGTCGCAGCCAGCATCTGGGCCGCTTGGTGCAGGGCGAGTCGCACTGGGTGCCCCGGGGGCTGGTGGCCGTGCATCTGCTGGCCCGGACTCCACCTAGAGCCTGAGGACGCCTGACGTGCTGCACGTGGCCCCGACTGGAGACAGCCGGCTGCCCGCCCCCATCCAGTAGAAGAGGGTCGCAGCACACGTCCTGTGTCCCTGCTGGGGGCCCTGGAAGGTGAGCCTGCTGGGCCAGGCCGTTGGCACTCTTCCGAAATGCACTCGAAACCGCAGCAGAAAACTCCAGCCACCACGAGGACACCCGTGGATTTAGGCAGGACTTAGTCAGAACCTCCTGGTTCTTGACCAGAGTAACCAAAACCCTCCTGTACAAGGAGCTGTGTTTGGCTTGGGACATCAGGATTTCCTTGTGTTTTCCATCGTTGTATTTTAGAAACAAGGAAATGTCAACTTAGTCACTTTCCCCAAGGAGTTGGCGCCTGCTCTTCTTTCATCAGACACTGAGTCCTACTGGAGCTGCGCTGGGCCACATGCCGGAGGTGAGCCGGCCCGCTGGCGGCTCAGGGAGCAGACAGTGTGGCAGGGACCGCAGCGCTGCCGTTGGCCTAATGCAGAGCGAGGTTTGGGAGTGGGTGTGCGGCTGTGGGGCTCCAGGCTGGGGCTCCATCAGTCGGCTGCGTCGTGGGCGCAGTGCCCGGGGGCAAGCACGATGGCTGGGGTTTGTTGTCTGCAGGAGCAAAGTCCAGAAGGATTCCTTGACTACTGGCCATCACCCAGCTTGTGGAAGGCAAGCGTGGGGCTAGCAGGAGAAGGACAGAAAGCTGCCTGGCTGGGCGCAGAGGGGGCAGGGCATGGGGGGGCAATGGGGCGGCAGTGTTGAGGTGGCATGAGTGATCTTGCTCCCGGTAGGCAGGGGTCAGATCATAGGAGGCCCCATAGGCCACTCCAGGGAGGTGGCTTCAGGGACACCTGAGCGCTGGTAAAGCAGCAGGGGGTGTGTGGAAACCTTAACAGTCAGCACTGCATTGGGCGAGACCAGTTTTCAAACTTAGCTCGTTATCACATTCAAAGTTACAGCGGCAGAGCGTGGACCAAACCACGCCTGCCGTGACGGAGACAGGAAAAGCCATGTCGGTGAGAACAGCGGGGACAGCCTGTGTCCACCAGAAAATCGTCGTCCCAGGG